GGAGAGGGATAGAGAGTTAGAAACATCGATCAGCTGCCTCCTGCACACTCCCTACTGGGTATGTGCCTGCAACCAAGGTACATGCCCTTAACCGGAATCGAACCTGGGACCCTTGAGTCCGCAGGTCGACGCTCTATCCACTGAGCCAAACAGGTTAGGGCAAAAGTGAAATATTTCAAAAATAAAAGAATAAAGGACGATGTAAAAAACATCCATATATCCACTACCCAGATATTATAGCTTCTTTTGCTACATATTATGTAATCACAAACAAAGCATAGTATTGTTTAATGTTTGTAAATGTCCATACATGATGCCATTTTATATGTATTTATATATATATCTCCACTCTTCGGCAGCCTTTCATGGACAAACGAGATGGATCCATTTGGATTTGTGCAGATTCAATCATTCACAATATTTTCATTAATAAAAATGTCCAGATCAAAGTGTATATTCATTTATAAGCTGTTAATAAGCATTGCTATATGTTACTGTACCAGATCTCTGCCAAGTTACACTCTTAGTCCCTTGATGACATTTTTGTGCATTTTATGGACGAGGGAACAGAAGCCAAAATAGCACTGATGAATCTGAAGTTAAGATGGGGTATGTTTGGAGGCAGAAAGGGAATGATACGTGATGAAGCTATCAATCATGATTTCCCGGAGGACTTTATTTTACTTTTTCAAAAAAAACATGTTTTTATAGAGAGGAAGGGAGAGAGAGCATCAGTGATGAGAGAGAACCATGGATTGGCTGCCTCCTGCACGCCCCACACCAGACTGAACCTGCAACCCGGGCATGTGCCCTGACCAGGAATCGAACCGTGACCTCCTGGTTCCTAGGTCGACGCTCAACCACTGTGCCACGCCGGCCGGGCTGTTGTACCTTTTTTATAGACCGAGTCCATCCCAGTTCCCTGCTCTAGTGCTGAGACCTAAGTAGGAAGTCCCAACTGCCAGGCACGACTGCACACGTGACAATGACTCCTTGTAACTCTTCTTTAAAAGCCTAAAAGTGGTGATGCCAAATCTTCGAATAAATCCAAGCGCTCTCAGGGCCCCGTGCACATCACCGCAGGAAGTGAGCCTGTCCCCATCGGCGAGGACGAGGACGATGACCTGGACCAGGAGACGTTCAGCATTGTAAGTCCTGACACGGATCCGGTGCCATGGAGCTCTGTCCCATCTGCAGGTTTTATTTTTATTTATTTACTTATTTATTTTTAAAATATATTTTTATTGATCTCAGAGAGGAAGGGAGAGGGGAGAGAGAGATGGAAGCATCAATGATGAGAGAGAATCATGGATCGGCTGCCTCCTGCACGCCCCACACTGGGGATCGAGCCCACAACCCGGACTAGTGCCATGACCAGGAATTGAACTGTGACCTCCTGGTTCATAGGTTGGTGCTCAACCACTGAGCCACACCGGCCAGGCTGATCTGCAGGTTTTAAAGCTCAGAACATAAAATCGAAGCCCCTGCTGTCCCTCACCCTAAACCAGCGGTTCTCAACCTGTGGGTCTCGACCCCTTTGGGGGTCGAACGACCCTTTCACAGGGGTCGCCTAAGACCATCGGAAAACACATATATAATTACATATCGTTTTTGTGATTAATCACTATGCTTTAATTATGTTCAATTTGTAACAATGAAAACACATCCTGCATATCAGATATTTACATTACGATTCATAACAGTAGCAAAATGACAGTTATGAAGTAGCAACGAAAATCATTTTATGGTTGGGGGTCACCACAACATGAGGAACTGTATGAAAGGGTCGAGGCATTAGGAAGGTTGAGAACCACTGCCCTAAACCCATGCCTTTCCTTGGGTCCCTCCCCAGAAGTGACCACGATTCTAGATTCGACGATCATCCTCGCGGGGGATTTTAGACTTTTACGACGTATGTCTCTAAAGACAGGAATAGTTCCCATAACAGCCAGGCGGTCTCTCTCTGCTTTCTGTGTATTTTTACTACAATAATTATATGACGTAGGCAATTGCCTCCATTTTACATATTAAAGAATAAGGTGGAGAGAGTTAAGGGGCTTGTCCTGGGTCACAGAGCTACTATGTGGAGCAGAGACTTGACCCAGGCAGTTTAGCGAGAGAGTGTGGGTCCTGGCCCATCCTCCCACACAGCCTCCATGTGTCCATAACAGCATATAAGTTTGCTCTCCACCTTGGGAAGTTTCATGTAAATGCCACACTGCGTGCGTTCTGTAACTGCTGTTTCTCTCTTTGCTCTGAGTTACCATTTCCACAATTTTATTTTTTCTCCTCTTGATGGACATAGGGGTTCTCACAGATGTTTACCGCTACACATAGGCTGCGGTGAAATTGTAAACATTTTGTTGTGCCCCCTGTGAGAGCTGCTCTAGAGTGCGCGGCTTGAGCAGGAGCTGGGAGTGGCATTGGGCATGCGCGCCCGGCACTTGGTTAGATGTCGTAGAATTACTCTTCGAGGCCATTGTAGACGTTTGCACTCCTGGCGGGAGTGTGAGTTCAGGTCGCTTTCCCAGTCTCAGAAACACTTGGTAGTTTCTGACTTCTTAATTTTGCTCCTCTTCGAAGGGTATGAAATATTGCCTGGTGTTGTAAGTGATGATTTATTTTCATATTGATTGGGCATTTGTGTTTGTAATGAATTGCCTGTTTGCGGTAATTTTTCTTTCCTTACCTTTTCTGTAGGAATTCTTTTTTTTTTAAATATATTTTACTGATTTTTTACAGAGAGGAAGGGAGAGGGACAGAAAGCTAGAAACATCAATCAGCTGCCTCCTGCACACTCCCCACTGGGGATGTGGCCGCAACCAAGGTACATGCCCTTGACCGGAATCGAACCTGGGACCCTTCAGTCCGCAGGCCGACACTCTATCCACTGAGCCAAACCAGTTAGGGCTGTAGGAATTCTTTGTACGTTCATGATGCTAATCTTTTATCTGTCAGTCCTTACAAGTATCTTCCAGTTTTTGGTATATTTTAAATGCTGTCCTTTTTGTAAATTGAAGGACAACACTGAAAAATAAAGAGATTGTAAGTGTACATACGGCTGTGGGAATTGCCACAATGTTGATGGAAGGGGGTAGGAGGGTCATGATCCTGTCACCTGCCTTATTGGCTCATTGTACCAGATGCTCAGGGGCTGACAACCGTGTCCTACAGGTTTTGTGATCATTTCCTCCTAAGCTCTTAGTTTTGTTTTTATGAAGCTCCTTGTTCTTGGATATTGGACTCTGGAAGTGGTCCCTAAGGTTATCTGATGGCTTGGTAAGCCTCAGGGTCTCACCTCTCTAATTTGTTTTCTGTTGTTCCTGTTAGACACTTCCTCGGAGGCTCTGCAGCCCTAGTTGTCTGCTCACGGTTAAGAGTAGAGACTAACCCTCCCATTGGGGGTGCTGAGCATGTGGGCGGGGCTTGATGGACTCCGAGCGTGTTCATTGGTGGGTGATGTGGCGGGGCTGCTTCCTGGGAAACTCACCTGGGTGTCTGTCACTGTCTGGGTATCTCTTTTTGTTGTTGTTGTTAATCCTCACCCGGGGATACTTTTCCATTGGTTTTTAGAGAGAGTGGAAGGAGGGGAAGAGACCAAGGGAGAAACATAGATTGGTTGCCTCCCTTATGCACTCCGGTGGGGTTTGGGGGGCACGGATTGAACCTGCAATCCAGCTATGTGCCCTGGACTGGAATCGAACCCGGGACCTTCAGTCCTCGGGCCAACGCTCTATCCACTGAGGCGAACCGGCTAGGGTAGTCTGGGTATCTCGTTTTCTTCGGCAGTCTTTTAAGAACCAGTTTTATCTTTAGCCCTCGCCCCTACTTCTAGAGACACAGCTGGCCTCGGGCATTTTGGGATGTAAATGATGTGGTCCTCAGCTCTCTCTGGGGGAGGGGGTGTTGGGGGGCATGAAATACTGACTGGTATTGTAATTGATCATTTATTTTCCTGTTTATTGGGTATTCGTGTTTCCAGTGAATTGCCTGTTCCTGTTCTTGGCCTGTTTGGGGTAGTTTTGTCTTTCACTGTTTTGTTGCTATTTACACCGTCTTTGAGGGCTTACCTCTTTTGTAAGGCAATCAGTCCCTTTACTGTCAGTTTAGCAGACGTGGGGACGGGGAGGAAAAGATTCTTGTGTGCAGTTTGCCGTCTTGATCTGGAAGCAACAACCTCCCTTCATGTCTTACAAGCCTAAAGGACTCTGAATATTTTACCCTGCACTTCCAGCTATTTTGTGACGGGCGGCTTTTAGACCTGTAATTTTGCTTCTCATTTGATCTTCATAAAGGCCTTATGGGATTCTCAGGCCCCTCTGGCAGATGCGGAAACAGAGCAGCATTTTCAGAGACCAAGTAAGGAGTCCGAGTCCTGGCTCCAGGCCAAGCATGTCAAACTCGCAGCCGGCGGGCCGCACGCCTCGTTTAAACAAACGGCGGGCCGCGAGCTGGACATGCTTGCTCTGGGCGGTGGTGCTGGGACGTGCACCTCTGGTGTTTCCGACCTGGCATCGTGCCACTGGCCTCACCCTCCTCTCTCGTGATCACGGGGCACGGGGCGGGCTGTGCGCGCTCCGGGAACTCGGGGCACAGAGAGCAAAGGGGGCCGCGTCCCTGCTGCAGGTGTTCCATGTCCCTGCCCTCCTGACTGTTGCAGTGTAAGGAGAGGATGAGGCCGGTGAAGAAGGCACTGAAGCAGCTGGACAAACCCGACAAGGGGCTGAGCGTGCAGGAGCAGCTGGAGCACACCCGGAACTGCCTGCTGAAAATCGGGGACCGCATCGCCGAGTGCCTTAAAGCCTACTCCGACCAGGAGCACATCAAGCTGTGGAGGAGGTAGCCCTCGGGCCTCCGCTGCCCGGTTTGATTTGATAGAATGTGTGAGCGTGTGCGTGTGCATGTGCGTGTGTGTGCGTGTATGCGTGCACACGCGCATTGCTTTGTTTTGGTCTTGTCAAGGTGACATCTCCACCCCATGAAGTATTTTTTCCCAACAAAAGACATCTTTTGGCAACATGCTTATGGCCTTCAGTTTTACTTGCCTGAAATAGTCCGATCCACTGGGACCCATCTTTTGAATCGGTTGGATGACATCATTCATTAATTTTCAAAAATAGATTTTTTTCACATGTTTATTGATTTCAGAGAGGGAGAGAGAGATAGAAACATTAACGATGAGACAGAATCATGGATCGGCTGGCTGCCTCCTGCTGGCCCCCTCCTGGGGATTGAGCCCGTCACCCAGGCATGTGCCACACTCAGATACCCGACTGCATGTGGGTCCTGAGCTGGGACATGGCAGGGTCCAGAGTGTGGAAGGTGGAGGAAGACAGGGCCCGAGTGCTGGGTGCCAGCGCGATCCTTAGAACCCTGGCTGCCGACTCCCTGCCACTGACAGTAGCGTGTAAAGCTGTAGTATTGAGGCCGAGACCTGAAGAATTTCTTTGTCACTTGAGTTCTACACTTGGGCAATATTCCACGGCCATGTTCAGTCGCTTGCCATTGGTCAAAAGAGAAGAAGAAGTTATTCTCTGAATTCTGTAATTGACCAGAACTGTTGTTGTTGTCTTTTTAGGAACCTATGGATTTTCGTTTCCAAGTTTACAGAATTTGATGCTCGAAAGTTGCATAAGTTGTACAAGATGGCTCATAAGAAAAGGTCTCAAGAAGAGGAGGTAAGCGACAAATATAATCCCAGTTCATTCAAACAGACAACACCGATTCCACAGGAAAAGCCCTTCCTTGCGGTTTTCCCAGGGAGGTGATGGTGGAATCAAGGTTGTGGGTGTTAGAGGGGCTGCTGGGTACCTGCCCTCACTGTGCGGAGGGAGGTGCAGGTCAGATGGGTCAGGAGCCCCCGCGGCCGTCCTGCCGTGTCCTGCGCCCCCTTCCCCCTGGGAGCGGTGCAGTTTCTCAGCACGCTTCGCTAGGATCCACCTAAAGCCCCGGCCGGGAAATGCCAGGACATTTACTGGCCTTTCAAACAGTGCTGAGTGCTTCTGTCCTGAGCTCATGTATTCACCAGGCTCGCTCGCTCACTCTTTCTCTTTCTTTAAAAATACGTTTTTATTGATTTCAGAGAGGAAGGGAGAGGGAGAGAGAGAGAAACGTCAATGATGAGAGAAAATCACTGATCAGCTGCCTCCTGCACACCCCACACTGGGGATGGAGCCCTTAACCCGGGCATGTGCCCTGAGCGGGAATTGAACCATGACCTCCTGGTTCATAGGTCAACGCTCAACCACTGAGCCACGCTGGCCTGGTTGGGCCTTTTCCTTCATGTGTCCTTGTCTGGTTGTAGCTTACAAATGTCCTGAGGGGTGACGGGACTGTGGCAGGAAACGCCTTTCCTGTGCTTTTCTGGGCCATGGGAACTTGGTGTCCTTCCAGCTTTTGTACGAGGTGTCCCAACATGAGAAGGTGCCCACAAGTCGCCCCGCTTTGGTGAGGGGGCGGGCACAGCAGTGACTTGGCCCATGTGCAGGGCAGTGTCCTTGTGCAGACACGTCCACGTGTGCGTCTGCTAACGGGGCACGCGGGCCAGCCTGGGAGGTCACTGCCTCCTCTGCTAACACGCCAGCCCCTGGAAGGTTCCTTGTCTCTTGTCCTCTGCCGTGACCTCAGCACCCGGTCAAGGCTGGCACAGGGCAGGCGCTCAGCGGCGCTGGTTGCATGAGCCTGTCCTCCGCCCAGCACTGTGTGGGGCTGGGGGGCAGCACCCTGAAGTAGCTGCTCATTTAATTGTCATGGAAGAAGGGGATGTGTGACGTAGCAGGAAACACCGCAGCGACGCACGGACGTTGCTGAGCGTTAGTGTGAATGTTAGTGTGAATGTTAGCAGTATAGGGAGTCTGGCAGAAAGGGCGGGAAGGAATGGCATCGTTGGGAAAGAGTGGAAGTCGGGTGGAGCGTTGGAAGCTGGACACGTGATGTGGGTATCGGAAGCTAGTGTACGTTGAGGAACAGAAGCACTGACCCTGTGAGCGGGGTAACCATGGCCACAGCCTTTCTGTGGAAGACGCAGTAAGGTTTATCAAACATGCAGGTCTCCTGGTCAGAATTTAGTTTAAGGAGATAATGAAGGATGTAAACATGTTTGTGGTGGATGACTTCAATGCTCAACAGTAAGAAATAAATGACAATACAGTCATATTGGGGAGTATTATTCAACCACAATCATAATACTGTGGAAATAAGTATTTACGTGATATTTTCATGATATAGTAAGTTAAAAATAATACCAAGCAATATTTTTGTTTGATACACATATATATATTTAAAAACACAAAATGGCCCTAACCGGTTTGGTTCAGTGGATAGAGCGTTGGCCTGCGGACTCAAGGGTCCCAGGTTTGATTCCGGTCAAGGTGTACCTTTGTTGGTTGCGGGCACGTCCCCAGTAGGGAGTGTGCAGAGGCAGCTGATCGATGTTTCTCTCTCATCAATGTTTCTAACTCTCTATCCCTCTCCCTTCCTCTCTGTAAAAAATCAATAAGATATATTAATAAAAATAAAAATCATCATTCTCCCCTTAAAAAACAAAACAAAACAAAAAACACAAAATGGCTTGGAAAGACATGGAGCAAATTATTCATATAATTTTGTAGTTGGTGAGCCTTTAAGTCACTTACATTTCTTCTTTCTTTCTTCCTGCGTTTTCTGACGTTTTGATGGCGAAGATTTTGCGTGTGTGGTGAAGTGGTGGAATGCAGACATTGAGATGTTTAGCTTGATGCCTTTGGAATGAGAGCTAGTTTCCCTGGACTAGTCGGGGGCTGATGCTTAGTTCGCCCAAGAAAGTCAGTGGTTTCCATGGAAGAGGAGTATCTGAGGACGCTGACAGCCCGGGCGCCCGTCCATGGCCCGTGCGGTGACATGTAGCAGCCCACACACGTGTTCTTGCAGGTTCTCGTCAGTGCGGTTGGCCTAGACCAGGGGTGGGGAACGTCTGGCCCGCGGGCCGTATAAGACCCCTTGTAGCAGCCCACACACGTGTTCTTGCAGGTTCTCGTCGGTGCAATTGGCCTAGACCAGGTGTGGGGAACGTCTGGCCCGCGGGCCGTATAAGGCCCATAAAATCATTTGGTCTGGCCCTGCCAAGGCATCAGGGGCGAGTTAATGAAATGTTTGACCAAATAGAGCAGGCTGATTTTTAAGCTGCTAATTTCGTATGGCCCGAGAGTGATGTTATAAATATCCACATGGCCCTTGGCAGAGGAAAGGTTCCCCACCCCTGGCCTAGTCGGTCAGAGCAGCAGGTGCGCTCAGAGCTGCCCGCTGTGGGAGCTCAGTGGAAGGGTGAGCTAGTTGTGGGAAGAAGGTAGTAGATGGCAGGTCAGAAGCCAGCAGGGGCCAGAGGGGGACCCTGAAGGTGGGGACCTTGATGCCGTTCTTGGGCAGCCAGCCTGGGACCCTGAGAGTCTCTGGTGTCCTTTTTTCCTCCAGGAGCAAAAGAAGAAAGATGATGTGATGGGTGGTAAGAAGCCATTTCGACCAGAGGCCTCGGGCTCAAGCCGGGACTCTCTGCTGTCCCAGCCCCACACCCCGCACAGCCTTCACCCTCAGAAGTCTCACCTGCCCTCCCACGGCCCGCAGACGCACGGGCACCCGAGAGACAGCTACAACCACCCCAACAAGAGACACTTCAGTAACGCAGGTAGGTCATGAGTGGGGCTTGTTAGCAGAGGCGACGAGAACAGTCATTTATGTTCAGAGACAGTAGGTAGGCTTTTGTGCTGTATTTTAAAAAAAAAAAAATGCTTTTTCTGATACTTAGAGAAGAAGGGAGAGAGGAGAGAGAGAGAAACATCAGCGATGAGAGAGAACTACCGATCGGCTGCCTCCTGCACGCCCCCTACCGGGGTTTGAGCCCACAACCCAGAAATGTGCCCTTGACCGGGAATCTAACTGACCTCCTGATTTCTGGGTGGACATTCAACCACTGAGCCATGCCGGCTGGACTGGGCTGTAGTTTGACCATCATTTTATTGTTCTCTTTGTTTTCTGAATGAGATCATGAAATAAAGATCCGAAAGGATGTTCTTTCTGTTTTAATTTGTGTGCGTGGGGCTGGCCACGTGCAATAAGAGGATGTTCTTTCAGCTTTGACGAGAACATAGTCCCCAGAGTACCAACGGACAAATGATAGACTGAGGGGAACAATTTACATTCTACATGACAGTTAAGTGATTAAAAAGCTGTTGCTATGGAAAGAGCCCTAGTCAATTGACAAAAAGGGGGTGACCTGATAGAAAAATGGAGCATTGGTCATTTTTTCCGGTACTTAGTAGTGATAGACCTTAGTGCATCAATGGGAACACATTTCAGGTTTCATATAAATTGAGGATGTTCTCCAGCTGTGCATGAATGCTGGCAACTGCGCGAGTTTTGACAACTGTTTAAATATGGAATGTTAAGCTTAGGTTTAAAGAGTAAAGCTGGATCGATCTTTGTTATTTGCTTTAAAAAAAGAAAAAAGGAAAAACGGGCCAAGGGTAGGAATACGGAATTCATACAGAAGAGGAAATTCAAATGGCCAATAGGGCAAGAGGACCAACATTGCTACTAGGGAATGTAAATTAAAGCAACAATAAGCTAACCCATTTTTTTTTCACCCGATCAGATGAGCAAAAATTGAAATGTGATAGATACACAAGTTGCTGCGTGTAAATTGCTATAGTCTTTCCAGAAAATAATCTGAAATACTTAAAGCTGTTTCTGGGAGTCTGTCCTGTGGTAATAAAAGCATAACATGTACGAGTTCAGCAAAAATCTGGAAATAACTTGAATGTCCATTAACAGGAGAAAGGTCAGATGAGTAATAGGACGTCTCTACTCTTATTATCAGTTAAAAAGAACGAATTAAAAATGAGGGGAAAAGCAACACACACAACATGAACTTAACCATTTTAAATGACCAATTTAGTAGCATTTTGTGCATTCATCACATTGTGCAGCCAGTACTTTTATCTAGTTCCAGAACATTCCCATGATCCCCAAGTGGAAATCCCATACCTATTAAGTTTCTCCCATCTCCCCGTCTCAGCCCCGGTAGACACCAGTCTGTCTTCTGTCTCCCAGGATTTATGTATTCTGGACCCTTCTATGTGGAAACATACAATATGTGTCTGAATTCTCTCACTTGGCAAAATATTTTCAAGGTTCATCCACGTTGTAACGTGTCAATGTTCGATTCCTCTTTGTGGCTGAATACTGTTCCGTTGGGTGGATGCACCACAATTTGTTTATCAGCTGGTGGGCACTTGGTTTTGTTTTTATTTTTGGCTGCTTGTGAAAAACACTGCTGTGGAAATTGGTGTGCAAGTATGTGAAGGCCGATTTTCAATTCCTTTAGGTGCATATCTGAGAGTGGAGTTGCTGGGCCGTGTGGTAATTCGGTGTTAAACTTTCTAAGGAACCACCCACCCCTGTTTTTCGTCGGGACTTTTTGAATCCTGTGCTGTGCAAGCATGGAGAGGGACGTGGAAGCTTGCACCCCACGGCCGTTGCTCTGCCGCTATCTGTTTCTCCAGCCGTGTCCTCAGCCTGAGCTCGGAGTCACACGGCTCCCCGGTGGCTGCAGAAGTCAGCCCTTCCCTCTCTGAGGTCTTTGCTCTTCGGAATCTTATTCCTTCTAGTCCTGATTTTTGCTTTGGCGGCTCTTTGATGTCTTCAAACAGGTTCTTTTTTTGTTTATCTGGCCTTTTTTTTAATAGTATATTTTTATTGATTTTTGGGGAAGAATGGAGAGGAAGAGAGAGATAGAAACATCAATGACGAGAGAGAATCACTGATCGCCTGCCTCCTGCACGCCCCCCACTGGGGATCGAGCCCACAACCCGGGCATGTGCCCTGACCGGGCATCGAATCGTGACCTCATGGTTCATAGGTCAGTGTTCAATTACTGAGCCACGCCGGCCGGGCTAATGTTTGCTTTTTGAGTGACATCTCATTTTAATGCTCGGACCCAGGTTGGAAGGTGAGCAGGTGGACAAAAAGAAGCAATGGTTCTTAAGATTTCAGAAGGAGAAAGGCGGGGAATTTTCTTGTGCCTTAAAATTTGGGGAAGCATGGTAGGACTCATTACTGGTGTGTGAGCAGCAGCAACAAGGAGGAAATTCGATGTCTGTTTATAACACGTGTCAGCCTCTCAGTTTAAACTGCAGTGGAAGTGGAACTTGGTCACCCCCCGCAGTCATGAGACACGCTTGCTCTTCCGCAGATCGAGGAGACTGGCAGCGGGAAAGGAAGTTCAACTACGGCGGTGGCAACAGCAACCCGCCCTGGGGGAGTGATCGGCACCATCAGTACGAGCAGCACTGGTACAAGGACCACCACTACGGGGACCGGCGGCACATGGACAGCCACCGTTCCGGCTACCGACCCAACAACCTGTCCCGAAAGAGGCCCTACGACCAGTACAGCGACCGGGACCACCGGGGACACAGAGACTATTACGACAGGTACGCAGAGGGACACTGAGCTGGCTGCCGCCCGGAGCCTCACCGTGTATAAGGGGGAGAGGCGGGCGACACATGCACGAATGTGTTTATCTCGTCACGTGCCCAGACGTGGTCCCAAGATGGAGCAAACGTCCGTGCCATCGAGGCATCTCGCAATGTTGGGAGGGATCAGGGTGTGGGCAGCTGACACCGTGCTGGCTGGCTGGTTGATAGATAGCAGGGACTTCTGAGTTTCTCTTGGGGCTGAGGAAGAGGTGGGTGGGGCTGGTGATGCTTGATTTGGGCCCTGAATCGTCAGCTAAGCAGAGCGATGGGGTAGGCCTCACGGGCCCAGGCCCAGGATGGGCACCCAGACGAACAGTTGGGAGGCCTCCAGTGCCAGGTGTATGTTTCAGTCTCTGGCTCGTAAGGAGCCCTGTGGTCCTCCGGCTTCCTCACGTCTGTACTCTGAGCAGTGTTCACTGAGGACTCAAGGGAGGCCCCCTGCAGAGCCCTGAGCTGCTGCGTGCAGAGCTGTGGTTTGCCTCCATCCTGGGAGCTCCAGCGGCCACGGTTCTGCTCACACCCAGGCTCTCGGCTCAGGACGTCTGCTGGGCTTCGGTCTCCCCTTCCCTGCGCGGAGGCCTGGGAACGGCTGCAGCAGCGAGCGGGGCGGTGGCAGGCTCATCGCATGAGCTCCCCCTCCTCAGGAACCACTAGTGTTCGCTGCCTTCCATCTGACGTGGTGTCTTGAAAACCTGTGTTTTGTCTCTTTCTGGTTGTTTCTGGCAGCAGGGTCCGTCTAGCCCCCAGCCCTCCACCTTGACTGCAGCCTGAAGTCACCATCCACCTCTTTCTCTTTCTCTCTTCTCATAGAGGTGAAACTCACACAGCCTAAATGAACTATTCTATTTTATTTTTAATATGTTTTTGTTGATTTTAGAAAAAGGGAGAGGGAGAGAGAGAAACATCGATGATGAGAGAGAATCATGGGTCGGCTGCCTTCTGCACGCCCCACACTGGGGATCAAGCTCGCAACCTGGTCATGTGCCCTGACCGGGAATCCAACCATGACCTCCTGTTTCATAGGTTGACACCCAACCACTGAGCAACACCAGCCAGACATAATTACCTATTTTAAAATGAACAGTTCAGTGCCATTTGTACAACCACCGCCTCTATCGAGTTCCAAAGCACTGTCATCACCCCAGAGAAAACCCCGGAACCACTAGCAGTCCGTCTCCATTCTGCCTTCTCCCCAGTTCCTGGCAGCTACCAGCATGTACTCATTCTTTGGAATTCATTCTGGATATTTTGCATAAATGGAATCAGTCAAAATGTGGCCTTCTGTGACTGCCTCCTTTGAACACTCAGCCTATAGAGGCTCATCCACATATATCTACATATATCAGACTTTATCCCATTTTTGGCTGAATCACATTCCATTGTACTTAGGTGCCACATGCGTGTCATAGGTTCGCCATCACTGCTATAGAGGCTCATCTACATATATCTACATATATCAGACTTTATCCCATTTTTTGCTGAATCACATTCCGTTGTACTTAGGTGCTGCCTTTTGCTTATCCATTCGCCCATTGGGGGGCGTCTGAGTCGTTCCCACCTTTCGGCTGTTGTGAATAGCACTGCTGTGAACCCGGGAGTGGACTCGTTAGTCATGCGGTGCTTCTATGTTTAACTTTTTAGGAACCACCTAACTCCTTTCCATAGAGGCCGAGCCATTTTGCATTCCTACCAACAGTGTATGAGAGTTCCAATTTTCCCCCTTCTTTGCCAATACTAGTTTTCTGGGTTTTTAAAAAATGCAGCCATCCTAGTGGGTGTGAGCAGTATCTCATTGTGGTCTTGGTTTGCATTTCTCTAATGATTCACGTTCATTAAGGATGGTGAGCATCTCTTCATGTGTTTTAGACAGATGTTTGCCAAAGTCTCTCACCCATACAGTGGGGCCTTGACTTACGAGTTTAATTTGTTCCGAGACCGAGCTCCTTAACTCAAATTACTCTATCAACTCAATGCAAAAAATGGGCCGAGAGACAGCTGGTATCTCAAAAAACTCGTTAGTCGGGACTCTCATAAGTCAGGGCCCCACTGTATTTGAATTGGATTGTCTTTTTGTTGTTGATTTGTAACAATTCTCTTTTACTAGGATAACAAGCAGTTTACCATGGTCCTACGTAAAACATTTACTATTTTTTGCATTGAGCCAAATTAAAAAACAAACATGTTTATTGTTTTTTAGAGAGAGAGCAAGGGAGAGAGAAAGAGAAACTCGTGAGAGTGGAACATCGACTGGCTGCCTCCCACACTCCCCCTTACGGGGGATCAAGCCCGCAACCCGGGCATGTGTCCTGACTAGGAATTGAACCGGCAGCCTATTGGTGCCCGGTGCTTAACCACGGAGCCACACGGATGAGGGCCCAGTTTGTAAAGTAATTAGCCCTTCACCTATGGCTGAATATTTAGGTTGATCGTAGCTTTTGCTGTTGCTCAGAAGTTCCAGAATCAGTCCTGTGGCTCTTTTTCTCCTGGGCTGGGCCACGGAGCATGGAAATGCGTGGGGATCTTGCCAGTTTTCCGCAGGGAGAACGGGTGTCCAGAGCCACCAGTGGTTCACGTGCTGCTGGTTTCATGGCTGCTTAATGAGGCTGTGTCGCTTTGCCAATGAGTACAAAATAGCCCTTTGTGGTTACTTTAAAAAAATATATATATATATATACACACACACACACACACACACACATATATATATATA